TAATAATTTATCATATATTTATCTTTAAAATATCACTAATTAATTACATTTTTTTTGAATTTTTACTTAGAAAATATCACAAAATTTATTATAAAAATATTAATTTTTAAATAAATTATTTTAAAAATATTTAAATAATTTTAATTATTAAATAAAATTGCAGGTAAATTTGCTTGTAAAATGCTTAAAGGGATAATAAAAAGATTTTATATAATAGATATACATTTTACTTATATTGTAAATTAACTTTTTTATAAATACGAGTTTTAATATTAATAAAAAAAATAATTATAATTGATATCTTTTTGCCTTTTTATATTTTTATATAATCTAATATAATTCTTACATAATATTTATAATTGAATTTATCATCTGAATTCTTTAATTAAGTTTGTTTATAACCTTGTTTTTCAAGTTTTCATACTTGACAGATTTGTTAAGTTTAATATATAAATTTAATAAAGTTAAGAGTTAAGTAGATTTTAATATTTTAATTGCAATTAGCATTTTAAATAGAAAGTTAAGGATATAGTTAACCTAACTTAAAGAATTTTATAATAACAATATATTAAGTAGAATTTGAAAATAAAATTTATTTAAAATAAGTATAGTATATAAAGTTCTTTTGTAAAAATAATCTAGAATTAGAGTTTAATATTTAAATTCAAAGTTTAAAATTTTTTAAGAATACAATTATTTATATAAAGAATTTTTTTCTAAACTACATATTGTTTTTCCTTCTTTATATTATTAAACCTAAATATTAATAATGATAGGATTTGTTTTATTGTTTTATAGTAACTTAGTTTAGTTTTATATGTTATTTCCTATTATTAAGCCAATGTTATTTTAAGTTCAATAGATTGAATTAACAATGTATATTTATAATAAATAATAATAAGTGTATTATTGTAATCAAATTTGTTTAAATTTTTAATTATTTTTAATTATTAAATTGATTGGTTTATATTTATACCATATGATAATTACATAATCTGATAAAATTTATCATCATCTTTATGTATAAAAATATGATCCGAATTTTTATCAGCAAATGTATAATATACTGCGCCACTGCCGGAATGCGTATCACGTGACATAACATTTAAATAAATTTTTTAACTTTTTTTGTATTATTCAATTACAAGTTCAAACAATTATATTGTGTGGCGAAAGGCGAACAGCGAGGCTGATAAACATATGAATGAATTAACTTGTAGCAATAGATTTTAGGAATAGATTCTTCTCTTAAATTTATTTCAACTATTGACGATGCCTTCCTCGGATCGCCAAACTGCTTTAGATTTATACAAGTATGAAAATCATTTATTTTTCTTTGTCGCGTTTTTGAATGACAAAAGGATGTATTCCAATTATTTAAAAACTTAACGAGCTCAAGCAATCCTCACATTATAATTTAGTATCTCTAATTTATTTAATTTTTTTATTTATTTTTTGGTTATTTCAAGATCTTCGGTTGAACTGGAAGTTGAGCTTCGTCAAGCTACGAAATCTAGATCGATTTTTGACAAACAAGTTGCTACATTACGCTCGAAGTACATATACATTAATGTAAACCGTTAGTCTTGTTATTTTTCATGTGTAGTTAAATGATCAAATTTTTATTTTTAAAAACAAATAGGTTAAGAGATACCTACGAAAAAATAATTTTCCTTGATTATGAATTGTCTCAATCTAAGGAAGTTGAGCAGAACTTGTGGAAGAATGTGTATTACAAGGTTATCGAAGATTTCAGAAAGAAGATCCGTGCTGTGAGTTGGCATTTTTAATCTAACGCATCATTAAGTTTTGTGGATAACGAAGATTTTTTTAGAAGTATACGTATAAAGATTATTAAATTGATTATTATTTCTAGTTACCCGCACCTAATGTAAAGCCTAAGTCAACTTCCAAAAAGTTGACCAGTGCTTTTCGTTCTTTTCTACATGAAGCGACAGGGTTTTATTATTCTTTTATTCAAAAACTTGCGATTCATTTTGAATTGAAGCAGTTGGATCCAGTTATCAAAAAATTTGGACTAACAATAGGTATTAGTTGAAATATATTAAGAAGTCATAAATTGTTGATTAATCAATTCACATTTATATTCCAGAGCCCACTGATGTCTCTCAACGTTTTTACTCTGAAGATATTAAACAACGAGCTGTTCTTAGTTGTCATAAGAGTTTAATTTTTCTAGGTGATTTGGGTGGGTATAATTATTGCATTTAATTTATAATCTATTACTACAGTTGATAGTTAACTAATTAAGATAAATCTTTATAACTTTGTAATTTAGCTCGTTATCGCGAATTACACAGTGACAGATCAAACAAAAACTGGTCCACCGCGTGTGATTATTATAATCATGCCAGACAGTTAGTTCCCGATAGTGGTAATTTTTCTCTGAGGTTTAGTTATGATTATTGTTTTTGTATAGCTGCACGTCATCACGCAATAAACCTTGCTAACCTTAATTCTTTAAAAATTATTTTTAAATAGGTAATCCTCATAACCAATTGGCTGTTATTTCTACTTACAATTCTGATGACTTTTCTGCCGTCTACCATTATTACCGCAGCCTTGTTGTAAAACATCAATTTTTGACTGCCAAAGATAATATTAGTCTTTTGTTTCATAAGGCCCAAAGATCCGCTTCCGAAATTCCTGACAGAGAAATCCATAAAGAACAGCGAGAATTCAGCGGAAAAAGACGTTTTTCCCATCAACGTCAAGTATCTACATCATCAATGACTCAGTCAAGTAAATTAAAAGCAAGTGAAACTATTCAGTCTTTTTTTGCTGATTTTATTAGGTTGCACAGTATATTGTATCTAAAAGTAAAGTAAAGTATCATTATAATATATATTATAGACAAATTGACAAATTACGACTTTTTTTTTGTTAAAACTCAAAAAAAAAAAAAAAATTTTTACTTATTTTTAGTTTGGAATCTTATTCCGAATTAAAAGGGTCTGTTTTGAATCAGTTGAAAGAGTACGCTCTTTCGCGTACGTTAGATCCTGATCAACTTTTAAAATTAACCGTGATAAATATGGCCGCATCATATGTAATTCGACTCATTACCAACAGTACGTTTAAATTTATTGATATTCAGCATTTTATTAGTTATCATCATAATATTATTCTGAATTCGAATTTCCGAATTAGGTGAAAATGGTGCAATTAACCATAGTCCAAAAGCTATTTCCACATATTCACAATCATCCAAGAAGGCTCTTGTTGAGAAACATTCAATCTTATTGGTATTAGATACTCTAACAGCGTTATTAGACATGTGTAACTCTGAATTAGCAGATATTTCTATTGATGGATCAGATATGCATAATGCAGTTCAAATTCTTCCTGCACCTGTTAAACGAAGCCTTGCGACTCTTCGTGTTGGAACAAAATGGGTTTATTTGAGCCTCGATTATATCGAATCTATGTCCACAGTTATTTCCAAAGATCCTAACGTTAAGGGCGAGTTTAATAATTTTGCTAGATTTTGGGAATATTTTGCTGAATTTCTTAATACGATGGAAAGTTTATTCCCTCATGATCAAGGTATTCCTCTCGATGTACCTTTAAAGGAAGACTTTGAATTAAATGGCTTCCTGGTCCTTAAAAATCATATATCTGTGGACAAAAATGCATTTGCAGACCAGGGTGAGCCATTTGAAGAGTTAGACATGCGTATTTATGATATTTTTGAAGATGCAAGAAAGATTTCCGAATCTGAGGTTTGCTTACTGAAATTACTTATTTTCTATAATAATAACAATAACAATAATACGACAATAATCTATTTATTGTAGTTGTCCCAATTATTTTATTATGACGGCATTTTTAGTGCAAGTGAACCTCCTTGTAAAATTATTTCCCCCATTAACGCTCTTAGTCCAATCGAACATGAAATTATGGAAGAATCTTATGACGGACCTAAAGTTATCACCGATTTGATTATTGACCGTGATGATGCTAATTTAGCCGAGTCTCAATCTTTTGCATCAAGTAGTCCAAAGGGACAGAGTAGCGATACAGCCGAAGATGAAACAGAAGAAGAAGTTATCTTATTCACGGGGCGTCATTCAGCCATTATCGACAATGATAATAATTCAAGGTTTGCGATTGTTATCAAGGATTAATTAAGTTCAACAGTTGATTAATTTAAATATCTTTATTTCTAGTGCCGTTGCCATGTCTAAAAAAGCTTCGCATACCGAAAAATTAAATAGTCCAACAGCAGCTGAGGTCTTGTTAAACCAAGTTTTAAATTCCAATCAACAAGTTACTTCATTCTCTTCTGTTAGCAAACCAAATGAACAACAAAATTATTGGAATCAATTTAATACACCTCAATTATTCCCTACAAATAATGCTTCCATGCAATTTGATAATTTAGAAATTAAATCCGTAAAAGCAAATTCTTTAGATTACCTAACACCTGTAAGCAGGCCATCTACCACTAATTCTAATGGTTTTTCGAACATAAATACCGGTGCTTATGATTCAACTTCGTTTGCGAGTCCAACACCTGTCTCTGGGGTTCCAAACTCTTCTCAAGATCCACTTGTTCCAACTACAAAACGGTCATTAAATGATGGCAAAGTATCATACCAAAATGTAGCTACCCCTTCGAGTGCTTCTTTATTTGCTTTCCCTGGTACAGATGGCGGAGCTTCTCAATTTGATTTGTTTGGTCATTCGAATTCAAATATGAATAGTTATTCGGGTTCTTCTAGTTTTACTTCAGTTAAGCCTATCGTGCCAACAACTTTAACAGCACCTCCTGGATTTACTTCTGACACACCCAACCTCGAAATGCATAAACAGGATCAGCAACAAAGCACCTACCAACAATCTTTGTTTCAAACCTCCAATGCATTTGGATTCTCATCTTTTGATATCATGCACACCCAGTTTCCATTGAAGAATGGTAGTGATTGTTTATTTAATGGAATGCATGATAATAAAATCAATGGTTCTAATGAATTAGTTTATCAAGGAATACAAGATACGAATAATACTAGTACAAATGAACAACATCACAATTCCTTATTTTGGCTTATGAATTCCACCAATACCAATATTACGACATCATCGAAAACAGGAGATAATGGAACTTTATCGGATCCAAAAGCAAGCGATTCTCGCGATCAATTTCGCTACTTTTCACCTGGTTGGACTCCTGCGTCAATTGGCTAAAGATTGGTGTGTAAGAATGCAAGATGGAAATCGAGAAACGAGTAATTTTGCTCGTCACCAAGGCCTGCTCATTTGAATTAACCATTTTGCCGTGGAATAATACGGAAGATACAAATGAAATTGCATAAGACGGAACGTGAAAAGACATACAAAATCGTATGTACTTTCTTCATTACCCGGTTCTTTGAAGTTAAATCAGCGACTTTGCTGCTTTCAAAGAATCTTATATCTCGCAATTTCCTACGTTTCCATGGAGTTAACATGACAATAAGTGCAGAGTCTGTCCTTGCTTTCCTTTCCTTGTATCGTTCCGTATTGCGATTTTTTACTTTTTTATTAACATACATTTCTGATATGTACAAATTTGATGACTCAATTTTCTTTTCTTTTCTTTTCTTTTTTTATCTTTTTATTATCTGTTATTGAAATTTATAATTCAGTACCGTGAACTTCCTTTTGCCAAAGCTTTTTTTTTTTTTTTTTTTTTCTTTTTTTCATTATTATTTTATTTTATTTTATTTTATTTTTATTTTTTAGTTTTGCAGATGGACGATGCAGGAAGGAAAGTGATTATTATGGTTTACGGAGAATTGTATAGAGCCTTATCTGTATATGTATCAGCAATTTGGCCAAATTCCGTGATCCAGTCAGTAAGTCGTATAATGAATGCTAGAAATATTCAATGTAAATTGATTCGCATAAAACTAGTTGGTACCTAAATTAGTACTCATCTGTGGTAAAAAATAATTATTTATATCGTTATAATGGAAGTTTATTAATGTATTGATAATATATATATATATATAATATATATATTTTTTTAACATTCATAATAAAAGATATTATTTAATATCAAATATAATAGATCATATGATCGATTTGGAAACTGATAATTTTATTAAATTATCCGCTTACATTTTTGGATGATTTGATCGAAAAAAATTGTAAATTAATTAATCTCATTTGAAACCGAGATTCGGCTCCGCTGTTACAATTAACTTTCGAGTTATTGAATTTAAATTAGAATAATTATGTGCCAATAAAAAGGGTCAAATTGCAAAATAAATTCTTTTACGATACGATACTTGATGATTCATTGAGTTCACATATTCTGGATGCTTTTTATGATATTTAGTGCTCTTTTTATTTTACCTAGTGACAAACATGCCAACACTAACCTAAAAAAGACAAAGTCCTCCATCCGAAACCATAAAAATTTCGAAACGCGGTATCACGTGATATACGCGACAGATAAATATCACGCCCACCAAAATATAGTAACTATTGCGTAATTATGATTAAATTTATTTTTCCTCACCTACTTTTATATGAAACCTTTTTTGTCATAGTAAGACTACCTCTATAAAGTTAAGAACGACTGTTACATTAGGTAAGAATTTGTCTTAGGCATTAATACCAGCAATAGTGGTAGACTTGTGTCATTGTCAATTTATTTGGGTAAATTAAAACTGTAGGTAGAGAACTGGAAGCGCTTCGTGGCCTCCCTCTTCAGTAGGTTGGTTTAAGCGTGTTTTTATTGGTAAAGGTCTACTAATTCTGTATAAGGGATTGGTTATGTCTTTCTTTGCACGTTGCAAAAATGTCCTTCTCTATTTATCATTGTTTATTGTTTATCCACTTCAATCGGCAGCGTTTAAGAAATTATTTTATCTTGCTGGTCAATTGTTTTTTTCCTATTATTTAGTGAATAATGGAAGCGTTTCGATTTTGCTCAGCGAGAACGTCGCTCTCCTTTTTATTTATTATTATTTGCTTACCTAACTTTATATAACTTTTTTTAATTTTTAAATTATTAGATAACAAGGTTGCCGGGCAAAACCTGAAGGTTTCGATAGGCATCGAAATCGAAACCCATTGAAACCATCGAAATTGAAAGGGTTTGACTTTTGCCAAAATGGGATTTGGGTTTTGCCCCGCAACCTTATTAATGAACGAACGAGCGGATAACAATTTTTCCTATTTAACAAGTCTTTGAAATATATTTTGAATGTACAAATAAATAAATCTATAATTTTTTTAATCATTACAAATGAGCGTAATGAAATATCAGTTGCAATAAGTATTTCAATGAATTTCTACCTTCATAAATATGTGTGTTATACTGTTTATTATGTATGTAACATAATATTTAACTTGAATCTAAATGAGAACAAGCGGCATACTATACGGTATTTATATGGAAATTATTTATCTACAAAGTTTAAACAAGCATAATTCATCTATAAATTACACTGTCAGTTTTACGCAGGTGGAGATTACTCGATTCTCCTTATAATTCAAAGAGAAAATTACGAATTTTGAATAAGATTAAGGTAATTGTCTTCTACTGACATCCGTGGCTATTAAAAAATTGAAGATTAATGATTTCAATATAAGATTATGCATATTTCATTATCGAAGACTTATCTTATTATATAAACTAACTTGATCATTTATGCTAATAAAACCTTATTCATAAATACTTTTATTTTCTATATTACCTAAATTCAAAATTTAACAGACTGATTCATTCAGATTATTGCGACTCAGTAATTAAATCATCGCAACACAAAACCATTAGTATAATCATTACCACGATCAATAGTTTATATAAATATAGGAATTATTGATCGATTACAATGAAAATTTTTATCTTGTCTATTCCGTTTTGAGTCGATATTCAAGACTCTGATATTATTTATTATTGCGGAAGAAAGGTTATTATTTTTATTGGCTTTGATGCATACAAACTAAAATTATAGAAAATCAGCGCTAACGAGCATTACAAGTTAATGATAACGTAACTTTGCTAGAACGATTCAAAAACTGGTTAGAAGATCAAATACCATACAGAAGATTTATCTATGTAATTTAAGTTGTAACTCACTATAGTCAGGGTTCATTTCATTATTGAAATATGTTTTTATTTATTCACAATTCTATCTTGTTTCTTAATCATTTCAGATTTAGAAGGAGTTTTCACAACCAAAAGAGCATATCTGTGGGGTAGAAGAAAAATAATAGCACCAAAAGGCAGAAGTTTGTTAATCCGGATCATCCTAAATATTTGAAAGTATAACGCTACTCAAATTAAATGTCAGTATCTTCAACTCAACAAAACTCAACAAATATAAGGTTTAGGCGAGAATTAGACTAACATTAATTTTTTGTAAAGTAATAATTTACAAAGTTCATCTTTATTTAAATAAAAAAATTTTTTGATCAAAAAAAACATGGTTCAGGTAGATTAGTCTATGACTCTCGCTGAAAATAAAGAAAAAAAAATATTTCATAAATAACTCACACTATATATTAGACGACCGATCAATCAAATTGATCCTCTTGTTGTATTGTTCAATGGGCAATTTTTTCATAATATTATGAATCCAAAGCTTCAAATGAATAAGGTTCTTTACATGAACGTCCACCAACTGCTTTTTTATAGCTATGGAATTTTACCCTAACAAAAATGTTCGCAATGAGGTTATAGAAATTTTGTTCAGAAGAATAGTTGAAAAAGCTTTCATGAAAATTGTATAGGAAAATTTAAGTAACAACACGAATAACAGAACTTGGATAACATTATTCGTGATGAAATTGCCTATCAAAAGTCAGAAGCACAATCATGAATAGGCTGATGTGTTGCATTTCAATAGTTTGTTTTTATACGACTAAATTCTCACCGTTTTTATTTTATCGTTTATATAAACTCTAAACTTATTCGAGAGACTTGGTTGTTGCATATTTATAGTAGTAATTGCTGTATCAATCAGTATTATTTTGGAACCATTTATACTGAAAAAGTAACGAGACTTTATTTTCTTATAATCAACTCGAGGAATGACTAATCTAGATAATTTGCACTTCAACTAGCTAAAGTTTTAACTTACAAATTTCTAAAGCAATTTAGCATTAGATGCCTGTATCTTTTCCCAATTTTTAGTTTTCTCAAGATCTTCAAGAATCATCAACTTCACTCATCTCTGTCCGCTGACTGGTGACTTCTCTTAAAGGGAACAGATTACTGATGATTACCATAAAATTCATCCAAAATTACGATAAATAAAAGAGAACATAATATATGTACTGCATTAAAACATTCTCCAAAATTATAGATTTAAAATGATTAATTGTGCCAATACACAAACTTTGGATTTTAATGAATTTAGACTTTTTAGAACGCTTTCACCTTATTTTATATTCTTACAAATTTGTAACGAATTGGTTTATTGTTCGTGGAATTATTGCGTCTCATATATGGTGGAAGTGCTCTAAAAATGGATAAGAAAACTTGCAAAGATGATGTGTAACCATCAATCAATGAATTAGAAAAATTTCGTGAATAGTTGAGCAACATGAAATGCTTATGTAAACTTTGGTATATATAACTGAAATACCTAATTTTCTCACGATGAATGCTGAATCCTATAGCCTATAACCTAATGGTTCAAGATTTAGTACTCTTGTATAAGCCCATGACAATTTTTATATACTGGCTTCTGGTTTGAATTTGTGAATTTAGAAAATTCATTAAAATGCATGGATATTACAAAACTTCTTTATTAAGTTAAACATTATAGTATAGTATTTAAAGATCTAGTAATTTCGTAAAAAACATATGCATAATAATTAAATATTATCTCTATAATCTCAACTTAATAATTTATGTAATATATAATATTTTTTAAATATATAAAATATTATTTTAATAAGGCAAATTATAAAGATAAATCTTATAAATAGATTTTATTATTTTTAATATTTTATATAAATTTTTTTCTATTATAAATAAGGTTTATACATTTAACTTACTTTAATTTTAGCAAAAACATATATTAGTTTACAATTTTTTTTTTTTAAAAATTTAGACAATCTTATTTTACTTAGTAATAATCCTAACTATAAATTATCTATATAAAATATTATTTTATAATGATAAAATTCTTAATTATAATATATTAAATAATCAAATATAAATAAAACAAAAAATATTCTATAAAAATAATAATAATAATAATAATAATACTTTATTATTTGTAATATAGAATAATTATTTAATATTTTTAAAGATTTATTATTTTTTTAATATATAAAATAGATATTTATTAATAATAAATAAATTTTCTAATTTGCAAAAAAATTATTATTTGAAGTATAATAGAGTACTATTATTTTTACATAATTCAAATAAATAATATATTACCATATAATATAATTATATTATATTATAGTATATCACTTAGAACAGATTATAGCTTCATTAAATAATTTAATTACTACTCTATAATCTAATCATCACATTATAATTTGCTTATCACTCTATTATCATATTATAATCTGTTTATCATTCTATAATCTGATTATCACATTATAATTTATTTACCACTTTATAATCTGTATATCATTTTATAATCTAATACTTATAATCTGATTACTACTTTATAATCTAATAGATATCATCTGATTACTATTATTTTTCTTTTTATCAATTATCTTTTTTATATTCTAATTATTTCTTTAAGTCTTTCATGCTATTTATACTATTTAGTTATAAGTATTACCTTATAATTTAATTATCACCTACTATTTAATTTAATTATCATTCTTTTCTTTTTATTTTTAATTTATTTTATTGTTAAGTTTTTTAGTAAGGGTATTGGCCTTCTATTCTTATTAGATGTTAAATTTTATAGTAAAAGTATTGGTCTTTTATATTGGTTTAGTTATTAGATAAAGTATTAAGATGTAGTATAAGAGATGTTTTTTTGCATTAGTTTAATTATTAGACAAAGTATTGAGAGTATAATATAGAATTATCCTCTTTATTGAGTTAATTACTAAATGAAATATTAAGAATATGATATGAGAATTTTCTTTTTATACTAGTTTGACTTTGTTATTATGAAAAAATTTTTTTAATAACATTTTTGATGATATACCTATATACTTTTTTAAAGTTTTAGAATACTTGATCATGATCCTTTATATCTATTATTATGTTATTAAGAATCACTAAAAAAAAGTAAAGTCTAGAAAAAAATCAAAATTTTTCTGAGATATTTGAGCGATATAAGTCTATAAAGGTAGGTCAGCTTAAATATATTAATAGCCAACAGTTTATGAATAATAGCTTGGCTAATCTCACAAAGTATCTAGAAGATGATCATCCAGTAACTAGTAAGTATTTAAAGAGTAAAGGCTATACAAATGAACAAATAACCTTAGTGTGTCATAAAGGAGTATATCTATATAACTATATAGATTCTTACGAAAGATTCTTAAAGACAGAACTTTCTTTATTTCATGAATTCTATAGTCAGCTTAAGGGAGATATTTCACATGAGGATTATGAATATACTCAGAAAGTATGAAAGGAATTTGGATGCAAAAATCTAGGTGAGTATCATGATCTATATCTTATGACGGACATATTTAACCTTACCAATGTTTGGACTAAGTTCTGAAAGACATCTATAGAATATTATGAGCTTGATCCCAGCCACTACGTATCTGCTCCATCATTGTCTTGAGATGTTATGCTTAAGTTTACTGGAGTTAGAATTGAACTATTCACAGAAATAGCTATGCATAATTTCATCAAAAAAGCTAAGCGTAGTGGTATTGTCATGGCAGTGCATTGATATTTCAAAGCCAATAATCTGAAGATAGAAGAGGCTTTCAATCTATTCTAACTCATAACTTGGGTCTCATATGTCAATGCAAATAATCTTTACAGCTAAGCTATGAGTTAGTTTTTACCTATTAGAAATTATAAATAGGTTGCTAGTCAGAAATATCTTCTCAAGTATTCTAAGATGCAAAAGAAATATCTTGAAATAATTCTTAAGACTAAAGCAGATGCATCACGAGGATTCTATTTGAATATCTGCTCATATTTTTCTTTAAAGACTCATGACTATTTAAATGACCTACCCCTAACCGTAAAAAATATTACAGTAAAAACAGATATGCTATGTACCTATAATGCTAAACTTGTAAATAAAATAGATGAAAGGCGTTTTTCAGCAACGAAAAAATTAGTATCTCACTTAAGTTCTTGAAATAATTATGTCATCTATTACCAAGAACTTCAGTATTATGTGAAACTAGGAATGATTGTAGATAAATTTACAGAAATTATGTCTTTTGATCAGACTAACTGGCTTACTCTATATATTGTAAAAAATACCAAATTGCGCTAGAAAGCTAAGAATACCTTTGAAAAGAATTTCTTCAAGCTCATGAACAATTTAGTATATGGCAAGACTATAGAAAATGTTTGTAAGTATTAGGATGTCAAGCTTATGGCTATGAATAATAAGAGAGATGAGAAGAAATTTCTTAATAAAGTTCGTAAGCCCTCTTTCAAATATGGACGCAGCTTGGAAATACGTTAGTAGAAATACATATAAAAAAGGCTAGTGTGACTCTCAACAAGCCTATAATAGTTGATGCATCAGTATTAAACCTTAGCAAGCTTTTAATGTATTACTTCTGGTATAACTATGTTAAGGATAAATATGGGGATAAAGTCAAGCTTGACTATATGGATACAGACTTTTTTATATTTATAATTGAAATAAAAGATATCTATAAGGATATAGAAGAAAGATCAGACCTTTTTAACCTTAATAATTTGAAGACTATTGGACTTTTCAAAGATGAGTATCTCAATGAAAAGATAATCATAGAATCAATCCATATCTGAGCAAAGGTTTATCACAATATCTTAGCTAATAAGATCACAAAGTCTACACATAAGAGAATTAGTAAGAGGAGTATAAGTGAAATAGTAACAGATATATACTTTCTATCATTAGACGGGTCTTTACTAGATGATCTTGTTCTAGAAAATAAGATATTTGATCTTTTGATCTAAGTATATTAGGATTACCTCTTTAGAAAGAAAGTATTATATGTTAAAAATATTAGTTTTTGAGCAAAAGATCACATAATATCCCTTATAGAAATAGAGAAAATGTTCTCTGTCCAATAGATACTAAGTATTAGATCTTATCTAATAGGGTAATTAGTTTGGTATATGTATATTGGCGTATTATGACATATAAAAATATGGTCAAAGATGGTATCCTTTATAAAGTGGCCAAACAAAGAACTATAACTGCAAAGCTTTCAGAAAAGTATCAGAATGAATGTACTAATCACATAGCCAGCCTATTTCATTAAGCTAAACTAGTGAAATATTTTGAGAAATATCTTAAATGCTAGAGTATTATTATATATTTTTTTTCTGAAGCGATAAATATTCAGTTTATTTTTTACTCTTATTCTTACTAGGATATTGCTTCTTTTAGAATCAGTGTCAAGTGATTCCCTATGTATATACTGTTATGTGTATTATATGATACCATCTTCTCAAAGCTCCATAGCATATTTGGGTTAATGATAAAAACTTAGCTTAGGATAACCTAATATATTTAGCAGTTGGTCGTGTGAAATATTTAAGCCAACTTATTCAGGTTGAAATGTCTCATTACCTCCTAAAATTACTCAAGAGATTGAAGAAGTAAAAAAAAAAAGACAGTTAAAGTACGAATTGAGACCGTCTGTTCAGGAAAAACTTATTAGATATATGGACTAGGACAAGAAAAAAGGCTGTGAATTTAATCTAACAGTTGACTATATCCTCACATTAAAAATGTATTCAAGAAGACAGATGTGCATTATGCCTTATAGAAATGAAATTCAAATGGGATCAGCCAGAAGATATATTACAATAGATAATAGATCGAATTCATAATAATTTGGGCATATCAAAGAAATGTACGCCTAACTTATCTTTTTTGCAACTGAAATCACAGAGTCTGGTTCATGCTAGTGATCCAAATTAGTGATATGATGCATATATGCAATCAGAGGAGGCAAATTACAGTACTTACATAATTGTAAGATTTTTTCTGACACAATAAATATTCAGTTTATTTTTTTTTCTAAATATAAAAATATCTTCTAAAAAGTATTGTACATATTATTCAAAAAAAGAGGATGCTATTCAAGAGATCAAAGAGAACATTATAGTGTTAGAATATGATGTAACTAAAATACATCAAAATCTTAAAAGAATTAGTTAAAAAATCTGTTATCTATATAATGCTATGACTGAATCATCTGAGTCTAATTCATCTGATTCAGATTATGCATCATCAGAAAAGAAGGCAAAACCTAGAAGGAATCTGGTCTGAGCAGTTTGATTTAACTAGTCTAGAATAATGACCATGAATCATTTTTCTGATTGAAAAAAAATCTAACCATATAATGTATATAGCTAATTTTTTTAATCTTCTTCTGTTTGAATTAATACCATTTATTCTAAAAAATTACCAATATAGGATCTTAAAAAATGTTGCAGTATAAATAATATATGGAAAGATAGGGTGGTTTGAGAAATTCGCAGAAGAGTAATAGTAGATTGTATATTCATTGATGTTAAAATAACTGTCAAAGCACTGATCGATCCTAAATTCTGCTTAAATAGTATCAGTAAAGCGTTTGCTAAAAAAATGGGTTTATATGTATTTAGGAAGTTTGGATCAAAATATCCTGCAGTGAAAAGTCTTGATATTGGAGCAACTAATGCTGACAAGAAAGTAATGGTAAGAGGCTGGCTTTATGGTGAAAAAATTTTCATTTCTATTTCAAATATCTTTGACTTAAAATCACAAAGTAATACTTTACCTTAATGTTTGGGAAAATCAACCAAAAAGTTTTTAGTTATTGACAAGCCTGAATATAATATAGTTTTAGAAGTAACGTAGTTATGATGTATAAGAGATAGAATTGAAGAATACATTAACCTAAAACTAAAATATATATGTATACTCCTAAGTATTATAATATGAGAAGTAGTGTTAAAAAAATTATTACTTTATTGCAAATATTTTACGAGCTAATATGACCAAATTTTGAAATATACAATATTGATCAAAATACCTTAATTGACCTAGACAAATATTGCAATTTGAGCTATTCTAAAATAGAGACAGAAATTGAATCTATTTCTTCTGATTCAAGTTATTTTTCCAAGTCTGAAGTGGAGGAGATAGTTGCATCTGAATGCGGTTCATTTGAAGGAATGATTTTAGACGTTAAAATTTGTCATTATACAATCCAGCCAAGTATAATGCTAATCTTATATGCATAAAAACATTAACCAGATGCTGATCCTGTACAATTGGATGAGCCTGAACACAATGTTTATCAGTATTTCTTGTAGATCGATTGTAGCTTGATAAATAATACGTAGTAATATTATAGTAATTGCAACTGCGCAAAAATAATTTATTCTCAAACTTTCTTGCATATTCTCAAAAATATGTATAGTCCCTTAATGATCTTTACATATGAATTACGTTAAATTTTTTAGCGAAACACCTTTAATCGATCATTTACTAGGTTAATTTGCAACTCAAGATCAGCCTAAAGATTTTTATGTTTTGCAACAATCGTAGCATTAATTGCCAAAAATTGTTTTTGATAAAAATTCTGAATATAACAATGGTGTCTCGCATAAGTTTTGTATTTGATCATGTCTTTAAACAATCTTAAGAATCTTACTTATAATATCTTAAAAAATCTTGAGGATGAATCAGTTAGAGACATGGAAGTTTTGGAGCTAAGACTATGTTCAAAGTATAATAATGAGATCCTAATACTTTCTATCAAGACGTTTATGGTACTTAGTTGTGATCATGTTTTTCATAGAGAATGTATCAAGAAAATTTTTTTACTTACTTAACAAAATAACTATTCCATCGATAATTGTATCATGATCGTTAAGCCTGTGATCATTAAATAGAAATTTTTTGTATTATCTCAATTAAGTACTTCATCAATAGTTAGAAGAATGAACAATTAACTTCAAATGAAATCACCAGTAATTCAAGAAGAGAAAAAGTCAGTTTAAGAAATGGAAGTGGATGAAGAGGTCAATGAAGAAGAATTAGAAATCCAACCTGATAATCAAAACTTTATACCCTCTAGCAGTAAAAAATAGACTAATGAAGATGCTGAGCCATAAGCTCTGCTTCACATTCATCTATCGAAAAACTGTCTAAGAAGAAGGCTAAAAAATTAATTAGAAGAGAAGATTTGCCCATCTTAAAAAAGTTAATCAAGGAATTATCCGCTCCTATTTTACAGCAAATTTCTTCTGATAGTACTATTTCTTTGCAGACGTTCCCTGAAATGGATATTAACTCAATTAATTTTCATGAATTAAATAACAGAATCATCAAAGTTGAAGGTGATAATCAAAAAACTGTTTTATAACTGATCCATAGCTATTACTATTTTTGAAAAGGGTATAGGTTATGGTTTGATCATTATAAAAAAACGTATAGTGATAATATGTCTAATTTTCTAGTTAATGATAAAATTTGTGAGTGCTTTTCAAATTAAGATAAAACTTTAGAGACTAATCTTAGAAAAAAAAAGGAAAAGGCAATAAAGATCTTTAAACTTTTTGATAGAATTAGAAGGATAGATAAGATAAATTGCATTAAGTCTTTTTCAGCGTTAACTATTTTGAGATTAAATGTGAAGGATATTGACTATATATTAGCTAAAGTTTTAAAAGTGGGTCAGTGAAATTTACTGCATATTTTTTACTCAAGTGTGAACATATGTTCACAGCTATCAAAGTTTTTCCAAATTTCAAATAAGCTAAATTTACTTATGTGTGATCACCTATTCACACTTGCTGAAGTTTTTCCATTTTAATATTTTCTAAACATGTGTAATTATCGTTCTACAGTAAAAATAATGAAAAAATAATAAAGTTTATGGGACAAGTTATTTTTAACTAATGTATGCTATATGCGGGTAATATGATGTTATTTTATTGCAAGACTCACCATAAAGATTTTATCATATAATTAGCTGGTATATCCTACTTCTATTAGTTGAAAGTGAGAAGAATCTTCATGATTGTTATATGATACAGTATGTATTGGTGGGTCATTCCAAACATTTTTTCATAAGTATAGTATATTTGAATAACATATCTGCTGTAAATAGGTTATCTTTTTTTTGAATAAATATGGGAAATATGCATAAAAAATATGCTAATTATTCCTGGATATGATATACATTATACGAAATGTCTGATTAATCCCTGTTAATCATGAAAGATCCACACAGCCTGTATTAGATTATCTTATACTCCAAATTTTTGGTGGTCATCCCATGATTTGAGAAATATCTCAGTATCATGATAGCGCCAGAAAATTATCATAGAACTGACAGGAAGCTAGAATAATTCCTGTAATACAATATACATCATATACCTCTGATTAGCTATTATTTTGAACTAATTTAACTGAATTATGCCACTAGAAAATTCCTTACATGCATATGAATATGCATATAGCCAGATGTAAATCTTATATAAATCTCTGATAATATACTTGTAATCGAATAAAAAAAATGAATCTGATATTTTATTATAATATACAGAGGGTCACCAAAAGTCTCTGAGCACTTTTTGGAATAACATAAAACTCAAAATTTAAAGTTAAAACTGAGAAAAATCAATATTATTTTTATTTAAATAAG